GTCTTGGAGAGGAAGGAGCAGCCCCTGGAAGAGGTGGTGATGAGACCAAAGGAAAGACAGGTCCTAGCTCCCCCTTCACCAGACCATCACCCTGGGAGTATAGAAGGCAGACTCTGAAGAATTTGTTATAAAGGCTCATAGGTAAATAGCTAAAAGCATGGATAATTTTAGAACTTTTTTTTTTTTTTTTTGAGACAAGGTTTTGCTCTGTTGCCCAGGCTGGAGTGCAGTGACATGATCTCGGCTCACTGCAGCCTTAACGTGGCCTCAAGCAATCCTCTCACCTCAGCCTCCTGAGTAGCTGGGACCACAGGTGTGCAACACCGTGCCCAGCTGAGTTTTGTATTTTTTGTACAGACAGGGTTTCTCCATGTTGGCCCAGGCTAGACATTTTTCAAAGACCCTTAAAAAGATGAAATTTTCAAAAACAGCTCTTTCAAAGCACTACCACCAGTAATCTCAGAATCTGCCCTATGCCTGCTCAACCCTCATGTCCTGCCTGCCCACTCCTTACCCCCTCTCCACCAGAGCAATCTGGTCCTGGATGAAGAAACCGTTGCTGAGTTCCCCGCAGGCCTCTGGAGGTTCAGCGGGGACAAGGTGAATCTGCTCATACCTTGTGTGCTGAAAAACATTTAGAGAGGTGAAAGTATAATGAGACATACCAGCTTTAGGACTGGGCTGACAATCCCATCTTATTGGCACCTTGTAAAGTGTGAAGGAAACATGGAGTGGTTTCTGTATCGCCAGACACTTAAACATTTTTACTTAATTATCGCAAAGGCCTATCTGGTTGTCCTACACCACCCTACCCTTCCATGAGATAGGCAGGGGAGTTGGTTGTAGATCCAGAGAGTCGAAGTGACTTGCCTTAAGTCACATAGTTCAGAGGTGGAGCTGGCAGAGGAAGCTGGTGCTCTTGGCTTTTCCCTTCATGTCCCCTAAAAAGACAACTTGTCCCTCCATGGTGCCTAGGTCTATATTATACTCGGGAGTAGCTGGAAGAGCTTCCTTTCTGTGCTGCAGCTCATGGAAGGCAGAGCTGATTCTGCTCCGTTCCCTGTCCCGCACTCAGGTGGGATGAGAGGGTCACTGCAGCTCAGTGAGGGGAGGAGGGAGGTTGAGGATCAGAGATCAGGTGTCTCCCTTAACTTACAAAGATACCACCAAAGTCCTTGGCAGGTGTGGCTGTGAAGATGTATCGAATGTCCCCAGGACTCAGCACTTGAAAGTACAAATAATCATGGATACGGAAGCCTGAAGGATAAAGAGTACAGGTAAGAAGCCTCCCAGGAACACACTGGTTTAGGTTCAGATCCCAGACCCCGTGTCTTCAGCTGGGCTGGCTATAGTCTGGACGCAGGGGCCTGGCTTCAGCCAACGGGGTCCTCTAGTGGTGGGGTTGGGGGCTAGATGGTTTCTGTCCTGGGGAGGATAGAGTTGATGCAAAGTTAGTAACCCCAGAGGTTTATATCAGCTGCTGCTGCTTACACAGTAAGCCAGGAAAACTGAGAGCTCCAGGGTTAATATTTTTGCTCTGAAGACCTGGGAATTTCAGGGTAGAGATGTAGTGACCTGCATACAAAGCAATTCTCACTAAAATTTAAAAGTTGACTTTCTGGTCCCACTGCCACCCCCTTAGTCTAGTCACTATGATTTCTTGTCCTGACAGCTCAGCTTCTTACCTGGCCTCCCTGCCTCCATTCTTGCTCCCCAAACAACCACCAGAAGTCGAAAACATCTTAGCAATTATGAGCACATCACCATGCCTAGGGTTTCAATACCTTTCAATAACTGCCCTTTGCATTTAAAATTTAAACTCTTTTTAAACTGTGGCCTACAAGACCCTGTTTGCTGTGGCCCCTGACCACTCTTCCAACCTCATCTTCTCCATCCTGTGTTCAAGCTACACAGACCTTTCAGTTTCTTCACTTCTCTGGGTCTTTCTGCAAGCTGTTCCCTGAGCCTGGAAAGCCCCCTACTCCCACCCCACCCTACTTCCACCCCTTTACCTGACTCTTTCCTAGTCATCCTTCAGGTCATACCTTAAATGTCACTTCCTCAGAGAAAGGTTCTGCCTCATGATTGCCCTCCCATACCCATTCAAATGTACTCTTCAATAAATGGGGACTTTCAACATAATTTGTAATTATACAGCTTTCATAATTTTTCTTTTTCTTTTTTTGAGACAGGGTCTCACTTTATCACCCAGGCTGGAGTGCAGTGGCACGATCTCGCCTCACAGCAACCTCCACCTCGCAGGCTCAAGCGATTCTCATGCCTCAGCCTCCCAAATAGCTGGGACTACAGGCATGCGCCACCATGCCTGGCTAATTTTTTTTTTGGTACTTTTTAGTAGAGACAAGGTTTCGCCATGTTGCCCAGGCTGATTTTTTTTTTTTTTTCATTTTTTAAATAGGAATAGGGTCTCGCCTTGTTGTCCGGGCTTGTGATCCTCCCACCTTGGCTTACCAAAGTCCTGGGATTACAGGTGAGAGCCATCGCACCTGCCCTGGATTCATAATTTTTAAATATCTGTCTCTTCCACTTCATAACTTCATAAGTAAATATAGGGGTAGCCCTATAAATTTTGCTGAATGAATGAACAACAACTATATCCAGCTCCATAGCACCGAGGAAGAGAATTTCCAGACAACTAGATTTTTCTGGGGCATGGGATCTTCTCCCCAGCACCAAAGTTTAATGTTGTACCTGGACTTGAGTCCCTGGTTTCCTTAACCCAGAGAGACTGCGGAATGTTGAAGGATGAAAACTGCTGTCATGGCCGGGCGTGGTGGCTCACGCCTGTAATCCCAGCACTTTGGGAGGCCGAGGCGGGCGGATCACGAGGTCAGGAGATCGAGACCATCCTGGCTAACACGGTGAAACCCCGTCTCTACTAAAAATACAAAAAAATTAACCGGGCGTGCTGGTGGGCGCCTGTAGTCCCAGCTACTCGGGAGGCTGAGGCAGGAGAATGGCGTGAACCCGGGAGGCGAAGCTTGCAGTGAGCCGAGATGGTGCCACTGCACTCCAGCCTGGGCAACAAAGCAAGACTCCGTCTCAAGAAAAAAAAAAAAAAAAAAAGAAAACTGCTGTCACAAGTCCATTGATCTATCAACAAACTACTAAGTCACTACTGTGTACCAAGGCTGGGATTGATTAAGGCTTTAGCTGTCTTTGTTTACTGCCCAAATCAAAGCCATCAGTTAGAGCTCCCATGGCTTGGCACTGGGCTATACAGTCCTGGGAGTGGGGACTCCCCGTCAGATACAAATACACCCCCAGAAAGCCTTCCTGGACTAGCGTCAAACAGTCCCTCCCCAACCCTTGCTTGCCTTTGCGTGTGCTTATTTGTGTAAGTTGTGGGTATACGTATGTGCTCATGTGTGTGCATAGATGTATACATTTATGTGCTTGTGTAGGTGTAAACGGTTTGTGCGTGTGTGCCCACGTGTAGGAATGTGTGCTCCTGTACATGTGAGTGCTCACATACATATCTCCAGCCTGTAGTATCTTTCCTTAGCTGTCCCTGCCGGTCGCACCCTAAGTCACCTGGGTCGGCGCTAGTGGGCGGGGAGGGGCGAGTGGGGATATCTGCTTTGTCGTGGGAAGCTGAGGACTCAAAGCTTCAGCCTCAGGCTGCGCCCACCTTATGTCCCTGAACCACCACCCACTTATTCCGGCCGCCCGCTCCCAGACCTGTCCTGCTCTGAACTCGCGGGGTCCCCAAGGTGACCTGTGGCCCCCAACCCGAGACGCGGCGCAAGCTGGACGGCCAGCCCCGCCCTGCAACGCAGTCCCACCCGTTGCCGCTCACCGTGGGCCGCGACGCACGCGGGGAGCCAGAGCACGAGACAACACCAGCCCGCGGCGCCGGGGACCATCTCCAGGGCCCGGCCCGGCGCCGCGTTTCCTACCGCCGCCCCGCCGCGCGTCGCTCTCCCGACTTTAGCCTGACAGCTGCCCCGGCCTCCCGCCCACATACCCGCTCTCGCCGCGGGCTGGACGACGGGAACGAGGCTCACGGCTGATTGGCTCCGACGCCTGCTCATGTAGCCACACTTTCCGCCTCTGCGCCTTAGCCTACTTTCTATTGGTAGAGAGAAGTGGAGCCGGGGGCTGATTGGTTTAAACTCTTAACAGCTACAGCCAGCCCTCGCCTCAGCCCCGCCCCAGCATTTCTCAGTTTGGACTCCGCTTTCCTGGTCCTCGAGGGCGGTGGGCGGGCCGCGAAGGACAAGCACTGGAGGTGTGCCGGTACCGGACTTGCTTCAGCTGCCGATAGTCATGGCCGTTAGTCCTTGCGGTCTCGGTCCTGTCCACTCTAAGGCCGCCTCGCTTGACTACGATTAGCCTTCTCCCAGCTGCGCTTCCCTCTTCCCCACGCCTTCACGGGAAGGCACTCGTCTTGCGCCACGGGGTTCTCCGCCCAGTGCCACCAACGCTTGCGCGCTCACCGTGGATACGCGCTGGGGACGCGGCCTGGCGCACGCCATCCACGAGGAGCCTCTGGCCAGTGCAAAGCCAGAAAACGGGCTTTGGGGCCAGCTTCCCACGCTCGCCCCGTTGACACTGTGTAACTATGACACTGGACACCGTAACCTGTCAGCCTCCGTTCTCTCATCAGTAAAATGGCCTTAATAGGACCAACGCAATAGGGTTATGAGGATTAAATGAGATCGCTCACGTAAAGTGCTTTGGCACCAGCCTATCCCACACTTTGCGTCCCACACTTTTGCCTTTATTGCATTCCTTGGTCTGGCGCCCGGGGATGGAGGAAGGTGGAATTAAGTTAGTAGGTGATGCGGACCGAGCAAAGACCCTCCGTGCTCAAAGTAGCACGACCGAAATGCGGTGATACCCTCTTTAATGACCACCCCTCACTAGCGAGCCCCGGAAGCCCAGCCTCAGGTCCTTCTAGCCGCACCGACTCGGTGGTAGCGAACCATAGAGTAGCGGAAGTGGTCCGTTCTTTTCCTCTCCCGGCCCAATCTTCTGGGTATTTCTATTGCGCGAAGCATTGTGGGTTGCTGGGCGGCCGGGTCTCGGAGAAGAGGGGAGAGTGGCGGGCTGCTGAATCAGCTTCCAAAATGATGGTGAGTGGCGTCTCGCGCATCCGTCGCCATCAGCTGCTATCTGGCCGGTGGCCGGCCCCACTCGGCCGGGGCTTCCTCTGTAGGATCCTTTTTTACTTGACGCCTCTGTTCTCGCCCAGATCCCCAGCTTATGGGCCACCCCGGGCAGTCGCGGCCTGGCTCGGCCTGAGCACGGCGCTGGAGCCGTTGGCGAGGGCTGCGTGGGGCTTTAGGGGAGTCTCTGGGCGGGCCGGTTGGGGACTACAAGTCCCAGGGTGCTTCGGGCCCGCAAACCCACGTCGAGGACCTCTTTTTGAGCCCCGCATGACCGGGACTTGCGTGAAACAGTGCAGGTCGGCCGTGGTTACGCGGTCGGCGCTAGACTTGGAAGCCCGGGCTGCCCTGAGATTTGCAGTCTATAAAGACGTGTGCTTCCTAGAACCGGCAGAGGCACATTGGGGACCTCATATTATGCCCGCCCAGGGACTCACTATGGTCACTCGCTGACCCTTACCGCAGTGTGCAGAGAAGCAGACGCCTTCCCTAGTACTTTTAATTCATTCACTCGCTCAGTCATTAAATAAATGTGTCTCTAGTGCCTACTGAATGTACCAAGCCCTGGTGGTTGCCGGGGGGTGCAGCCTCTCAGCCAGGAGAACGGGAAAGGCAGATGGAGACACTGTATCGGAGGTGGGAAGACCCAGGCTCGGACTCCGGTGACATTAGAAAGACTTTTCTAGTTGGCTACCTAACTCTGGGTCTCGTTTTCTTAAAATATGGGGCGAGGGAGTTGCTGTGAGTCCTGGAGCCACCTAAAGTGCTCCTTGTAGCCCTACTCCCCACACCTCTTTTCTCCCTCTCGTAGCTTCAGATGCTTCCCGTGGGTCCCAAGCCTCGATGGTATCTCCTGGGTTGTTGTTGAGTAGGGCCAGCTTCCGAGGTGGTGTTTGACCCTGACTGAGATACTGCTTTCTGTGCACTTTGCAGTTCACTTACTCATTTTGGCCTGTCCGACTCAATCTTCTGTTCTTTTCCTGCTTCCTGCAGCTTTTCCCTGTCCTGTTAGGGAGGCAGACTCCTTTTAGGTGTTCTACCAGATTCCCTGTGAATCCCGCTTGTACCCAACGTAGAAGGAAATTCGCATTTAACTGTACTTCTCTTCCCTTTATGTCTCCAGCATTGCTCATTCTTGAAGTCTTCATCTTCTGTGCAGAGGCAGCATAGTATAGCAGTTTAGAGTAAGGCCTCTGGAGCTACACTGAATGCCTAGGTTTGTAACTTAGCTCTGGCACTTACTAGCTGTGTGACTTTGAGCATGTTATTTAATTTCTGGTTCTCAGTTTGTCAGTGTGCCTTGCAGATAGTAAGCACTCAGCAATGTTAGCTCTTACTTGGCGAGGTGGTTGTTTGGTTCCTTTCATCTCTGTAATCAGTCCACCCCGCTGCCAAGTCTTCCATAAGAGCTTTAGTTCACATTCACACAGCTGGGGATCAGAACCGCCATTCTCTGCCGTGATAAAACTTCACCAGTGGGCTCTATCTCGGTCACCACACTTGGGTTTTCCCTGAACTGACCCCTATTCTGTCAGATTGACTATTTCCCTGCTGTATTGGCTCTTAATATCTCCTTCCCATTTTTAGAACGTAAAACTTCTATCTCCAAGAGTCTTCCTGTCTTCAAATTGGCCCCTGGTATTCTAGAATCCTTCTGTAATCGAAAGAGAAGTGAAAAGGTCCCCTGAAACCTCAGTCCTGTGATGTTGGTACAGCTAGTATAAAATGTATGTCCTTGCCTTTGTGGTGTTGAGCGCTCTGTGCCTTGGCATATACACACTTGTTCTTGTTTTGTAAACCATTAAGCTTAATGATGCTTAGTGAAAGTTTTAAAGTAGGATGAAGAGGAAGATCAGTAAGCTGAAATTCCAAAACCTTCCATGATACCTGTGACAGGATTACTGGAGTCTGCTTTTGTTTGTTTCTTTCTTTTTTTTTTTTCCCCCCCCGAGATGGAGTCTTGCTGTTGCCCAGGCTGGAGTGCAGTGGCGTGATCTTGGCTCACTGCAACCTCCACTCCCAGGTTCAAGCAATTCTCCTGCCTCAGCCTCCCAAGTAGCTGGGATTACAGGCGTATGCCACCACGCCTGGCTAATTTTTGTGTTTTTAGGAGAGACTGGGTTTCACCATGTTGACTAAGCTGGTGTCAAACACCTGACCTTGTGACTCACCCACCTTGGCCTCCCAAAGTGCTGGGATTACAGGCATGAGCCACCACACCCGACCTTGTTTCTTATTTATTAGAGTAATAAATAAAAAAAAGGAGCGAGGTTGAAAGTAACTAAGGGACGGAAGCTGGACTTTCCATACAGTGCCTGCTGCTGGGAAACTGTTAGAAGAGAACCTATATCATGCTTGGCTTGGTTTGACTCAACCCAGCTCTGCCACCTTTTCCTCCCCATAGACGCTCTCTACCCAGCCTGCCATTTCTTCTGGGCCTACAAAGCATAGAGAACCTGGGGAATCTGTGGTTAGCTGCTTCCAAGCTCTGCTTGCATTGTACTTAAGAACTCTAAGTAAATTTAGTGTTACTATACTGACAGTGCTTTTCTCCCCAAAAGTCAAGAAGCCAGTACTGTTAAACACTTACAAGTAGCAGTTGGATTTTCAGCCCCAGAAGCTGCTGAATATTGCTTCATGCGTGACCAAATCTTGGCACTCTTCAAATTAAGGTTATTCTGGTCCTTGTTTTTGGAAAGCTTATACTTAAGATAGATAGTAATACAAAAGTTGTGAGCAAGTGCAAGTGAAGAGAAAGTTACGGGATCCCCTGTTCAGATGCCCCTGTTATTACTGTAGAGAAAACTTCTTGGAAGAATTGGAGCCCTGAGGAATTGGTGAACTGGTGGTAAGAAAGTGGTTTTGGTAGAAGATGGCAGTGACTATTTTAGATGGGGGTACACTTTGCAGGTTGAGGTGAGAAAAAGTGTACATAAGCATTGGATAAGTTAAGCTGTTAAGGAGGTGAAAGAACCTGTTGAAGGTGGTAGAAAAGTGATTGAGACTCAATGTTAGTTTTTGATTTAAAGTGTAATACTCCACCTGTGGCAGGGGTGGACCAGAGAAGACTTGGGGCTGCCATAAGGAATGATTCAGCAAGACTGACAGATGGTGGGGCCTTTCAGGACACACATCTTTCCCTTACAGAAGGTGCCAAGGACTGGGCCAGGAAGAATGCTGGCAGTATAGAGAAGCCATTTCTTGCCACCAGACCTGGGACACTCCAGCAAAAGGAAGGAATTTTCCCTTCAGTTGATGCCTGACCCCAAATGTAGGGGTTTACATGACAAGCATTCTTTTTAAAATAAAAAATAAAATGAGTAATGTTTGATTATTTGACAAACATTTAAAAAAAATTAATGAGGGCCTGGCATGGTGCCTCATGCCTGTAATCCTAGTGCTTTAGAAGGCTGAGGCGGGAGGGTTGTTTGAGGCCAGGAGTTGGAGACCAGCTTGGGTGACGTTTTTTAAATACAAATTTAAAAAATTAGCCAGGTGTGGTACCACATGCGTTGAGGCCCAGCTCAGGAGGCTTGATCTTATAGTAAGCTATGATCTCACCACTGCACTCCAGCGTGGATGGTGGAGCAAGACCCTGTCTCTTAGAAATATTAAAAAAAAAAAAAAAATAATAATATATTAAATTACTCCCACTCTCTTATTCCGTGGAGTTTATTGGGTATCTTTCATTTTCTTTTTGTAGAGACAGGGTCTTGCCCAGTTCCCCAGGCTGATCTTGAACTCCATGAGCTCAAGTGATCCTCTTTTTTCTACAGTGGTTTTTGTTTTTATGTAAATCACAGTATGCCTTTCCTCTGCTGAAAGCTTCCCAGGGCTTTCCTTTTTAGGAATGAAATCTGAACTCCTCACCATAGTATGTCTACAAGTGGGTATGTGATCTGGTTCCTGCCTGCCTCTTCAGCTTTATTCCAGTCTTCCTCTTGATTACTACCCTCCAGCTGTGCTGGCCAAAAGAGTTGAGCTTTTTAAGAAATTGACCAGTTAATAAGGAATCAGCCTCATGGGTGGCTAGACTCTGTCTTTGGCAGGAATTCCTCACTCCTCGTTGTTAGGCTGGGAAAACCCTGTGCTTTCCTGTGCCTTCCTTGCTCAGACATCTCATGTGCCTGTAAGGACTGGGCGATGGCTTTCAAACTTTTTATTGCATGCCACAGTAAGAAATACTCTTTTTTTTTTTTTTTTTTTTTTTTTGAGAGGGAGTCTCACTCTGTCGCCCAGGCTGGAGTACAGTGGCGCCATCTCGGCTCACTGCAAGCTCTGCCTCCCAGGTTCACACCATTCTTCTGCCTCAGCCTCCCGAGTAGCTGGGACTACAGGTGCCCACCACCACGCCTGGCTAATTTTTTGTATTTTTAGTAGAGGCGGGGTTTCACCGTGTTAGCCAGGATGGTCTCGATCTCCTGACCTCGTGATCCACCCGCCTTGGCCTCCCAGAATGCTAGGTTTACAGGCGTGAGCCACCACGCCTGGCCAAGAAGTACATTTTTAATCATAGCCTAGTAACAAATTTAAACACAATAAAAGTTTTGAAATAGTATTTATCCTACTGCATTCTGTGTCACACACAAAATTAGCCAGAAACACTTGAGAAGACTGGATCTAGTTTGTGGGCTCATCTCTGAAGGCTCACATTTGAATGCAGAGGGAAAGTACTCTGGTTTGCTAAGCTGAGAAATTACCCTCTGTGCTAATAAAGGTGGTCACTGGAGCAAATATATCTGAGCAGGCCCTTTAAAACAAGCAAGTATTCCTGTTTCTCAGAGTTTCTAAAGCAGGTCTGCAAATGAAGCCCTTACAGGGATAGGGAATGTTCTGGAGACCAATGCAATGTAGAAAGAGAGAAACTTCTTTGGGGTATCTGATTGGAAATTAGTCACACAGAAACTTTATTGAGCCAGCATGAGAGGTGGAAACATTGCTATATGAATTAGATTTGCCATCATTTTTCAAAACAGGGCAAAGGTACTATTTGTTTCTCTGCCTGTTTTCCTACACTGCAGCTGAACATCACTGTTATATAAAGCTGACTGCCTGGGCATCTCCAGGACAACACCTCAAGCTCTTGGCATCTTGCATTTTGCATCAGTGCCCCATCTGCTTCCCTAAGATTGAGCTGTAACACAGACAAGTGGATGTTTTGCTGCGGGATGAACATTTAGCAGGGTCTGCCTCTTCCTCCTGTGTTGTGACCTAATTCCTCCGCACAGGGAGTAAGGTCAGAAGTTGAAAAGGCCATGGTCATTCAGCTGGGCACTGGAGAACTCATGATTTGTTCTTTTTAGACGAGGTCAGTGCTTCTCAAACCATTTTCCTGTCTAGTATACCTGCAGGGTAGGCTAAATTTAATAGTGTCTCTGGAGGTAGAGGCTGGTTGGGGAATGGATGTGGTAGACAGTTGGGGGAATGTGGTTTAAGAAGACCTCTAGATAATTCTGTTAAGGGAGAGATGGGAGCATTTTCCCCTTTCCCCTGCCAGTCTCATTATGATAGATGATTATTAAAAGCAGTTAATTTTTCTTTCTTTTCTAGCCCACACCAGTTATCCTATTGAAAGAGGGGACTGATAGCTCCCAAGGCATACCCCAGCTTGTGAGTAACATCAGTGCCTGCCAGGTGATTGCTGAAGCTGTAAGAACCACCCTGGGTCCCCGTGGTATGGACAAGCTTATTGTGGATGGCAGAGGTAAGTCTACAGAGTTCCTCAGGCCTATGTGCAGAGAGGAGGCTCCTGGGGGGTGTTTGGGACTAGCATACGTTGGTCTCAGAAATCCCACTGTTTTTAAGATCGTTGAAAGATGACTCACTCTGAAGCAGTTGCAATTCTTATATCGTCCTGACTGCTGAGCCCATGTGGGAATATATGAGAGAACCTAGGCTCAAAAGTCTGTTGCCTCACAGGGAGACATGGCCTAGAAACATGAAATACAACCATCTGGAGTTTCCTGTGGTCACTTCCATTGTTATCAAGACAAGAAAATTCCTGTTTATATCTTGGTATATTGATGTGTGAGGGTATCAACTGTGGTAAGAATATCTGAGTGGTTACTTCTATTTAAAAAATCTTCTTTGTATCCAGTTGATATGTATTAATTACTCTTCAAGGAAAATTGGGAGTCTGTGGTCTTCAAAAGCTTGTGATTTTAGACCCTTTGTGTACAGAGCGAATTCTGTATAGAAAGATCAGATAGGTATCCTTTCCCTTCAGCCCTGTCGTGATCCCTTCTGTCCCATCCCAGTAAAGTGTACCTGGTCTCTAGGTCCAACTTGAAGACAGCATTTAAGAAAGGGGCTTTAAATTTTTGTTTGTTTCTTTTAAGGCAAAGCAACAATTTCTAATGATGGGGCCACAATTCTGAAACTTCTTGATGTTGTCCATCCTGCAGCAAAGACTTTGGTAGACATTGCCAAATCCCAAGATGCTGAGGTAGGAAAATAGTTGTGTGTTTAAATGGAGGTTGAAACACATGCTTGCTCGCTCCTTAGTTCTCCTCTATTAAATTTTTTAAAGATTTTATATAATTAAAATTGTACAAGTAATACATGCTTATAAAAGTATTTAGAATTATTAGCCTTTTAAAATTCATCCTATTTCATTACATGTAGTTTTTCATATCCGTTAATACATTGGTGAATGACAACAGTCTTTAGATATCAGTCTACTGCCTGAGACCTTAACAGGTTGTGTGCTGTCATTTGTTTGAGTTGCTAGGTTAAATAATTCCACCTCTCATCGCTTATAAAATGGGGCTGTAAACTAAGGATTCCAATCTGCCCTTTTTTTTTTTTTGTTTGTTTTTTAAGGAGATGGGGTCTTACTATGTTGCCTGGGTTGGCCTTCAACTCCTGGGCTGAAGCCTCCTCTCACTTCAGCTTCCTTAGGCGTTGGAGCTACTGGCATTTCCCAGTCCACCAGGCTTATTTTTTTGAACTGATGATAAAATAGACATAAAATTTATTCTTGTAACCATTTTTAAGTGTATAATTCATGGCATTAGCCATTCTGTCTTTTAAAAATAAATTCTAACCCTGGAGTATTAATAAATGTGTTGACAGATAGGTTTTGTATTTTAGAGTACTGTAAAATAAGTATACTACAGATATGTCCTAAAGTTATATTAAAAGATTTATTAGGACCCACTAGCCTATAAAATAGGTATAGCATATTTAAAATTAAAGTGAGAAGAGTCTGGATTTGATTTGTTTTTGTCTTCAATGAGGGAATAATACCTTTTGGTCCAGAAATCTGGCCACTTAAACCTTCTCTGTAGTAACCTTTTTTTTTTTTTTTGCCCCATGAGAATTTCTTACCTTACACAGTGAAGATACATGAAGTTAAAAATAAATTTCTGGGCTGAGCATGGTGGCTCATGCTTGTATCTCATCACTTTAGGAGGCCACGGTGGGAGGATTGCTTCAATCCAGGAGTTTGAGATCAGCCTGGGCAATACAGCACGACCCCATCGCTACCGAAATTAATCTCTTCTGGTTTTAAGTTTATCCAATTTTCTTGAAAGCTCTTTTTTTCACCCTCATTAAGTAGGGTTTAGATCCCATCACAGAAAAGTACCATCTAAAAAAGATTAGCAGACTAGTAATCTGCTTATTCCCAGTTTTGTTGTGTTTTTTTTCTTTTGAGAGGGGGTTTCATTCTTGTTGCCCAGGCTGGATTGCAGTGGTGTGATCTCGGCTCACGGCAGCTTCTGCCTCCTGGATTCAAGCAATTGTCCTGCCTCAGCCTCCCGAGTAGCTGAGATTACAGGCGCCCACCACCACGCCCAGGTAATTTTTGTATTTTTAGTAGAGACGGGGTTTCACCATGTTGGCCAGGCTGGTCTTGAATTCCTGACCTCAGGTGATCCGCCTGCCTCGGCCTCCCAAAGTGCTGGGATTACAGGTGTGAGCCACTGTGCCCAACCACCTTTTGGTTCTTAAACAATGTTTGTCTCATGCTTCTTGGTACCATGATTTTTGTAAGTACTGTATTATAATACGCATGACAATGACTGTCTTATCACAATGCCTTGTACGTAACATAAGCTCTCACTTAATTCATGTGTGTAATTTTATACCCTGAGAACATGTGATTGTCCACATCAGCCCTCTTTAGAGAATGGGGCTGTCTGGGGAATTAATTTTGTAGCCCAGGACTATTTGACATGATGGATATCTAACTACCATTACCTTCTTTCTACTTATTGCAAAAACCTGTGCTTCCAGAAAAAAGCTTGACATCCATTTAAAGAATACTCAGTTTAAATGGGTAGTGTGCCTAAAAATGGAGTTTCAGGGCTTTATTCCCTGAACATCAGAAAACGTGTATTTCCTGTCATCTTCCAGGTGGGTGATGGCACCACCTCAGTGACCTTGCTGGCTGCAGAGTTTCTGAAGCAAGTGAAACCCTATGTGGAGGAAGGTTTACACCCCCAGATCATCATTCGAGCTTTCCGCACAGCCACCCAGCTGGTATGGGCAGTACTGATTAACCTTGCCTTGGGTCTGGGCACCTTCACATTTCTCTTAGGAAGGGGAATTTCTTTCCAGCAGTGTGGAGGGACTGGGGAACAGGGTACTTTGGGCATTTTCTGACATCTCCCTAGTAATCTCAGTTCTACTATTCTGTAGCCATTTGATGAGGTGTATTACTTAATCTTTTTAAGCCTCAGGTTAGAGTCAGCCTGGTAGACTATGATGTAGACATGGTCTTTTAGTAAGGACTAGTTTTTATCAAGTACCTCATGGTGTATATTGAGACCTAACTATTTGCCCTCTAACCTTCATTTGTGATCTGGGACAAGTCATTTAATCTTTCTAGGCCTTACTTTCTCTCTTTGCTATCTCTAATTTGAGTAGTGACATTAAAATGAAATAATATATGAGGAGTACTTTGGAAAAGATAGTTTATATATTTGTAGCATGTTTTATATATAACTAATATATAAAGTGGTAGAAGTTGTCATAGGTGTTTTTAGTAAACCAGGAGATTTGGCTTAATCTCCTGTCACAGCTGTTTCCACTCATTTGTTGTAGTGTGTTACCTGCAGACCCAGAACAAAATCTTGGAAGCACCCTGATTCTTCAGAACTGTATACCCACTCTGCATTTCTGACTTTTGGAATTTTCTGAACTATAGAGTTTTACATTTTTCTGAGCAGTTACAAGACCTAGAAGTGTTGTTTCAGCTGTAAAGTATAAATGCTTAGGATTTGGGAGTAAACAGACTCGGGACTATTGAGAGATTGGGGTCCATTTCAGCAGTTCATCTTTAGCATGAGAAACTCATTCAACTTCTGTTCTTGGCAGGCGGTTAACAAGATCAAAGAGATTGCTGTGACTGTGAAGAAGGCAGATAAAGTGTAAGTCTGTAGTGGGCCTTTTTTTTTTTTTTTTTTTTTAAAGAGACGTAGCCTTCTATATTGCCCAGGCTGGTCTGGAACTGTTGGGCTCAAGTAATCTCCCAACTCCGCCTCCCAAAGTGCTGGGATTACAGGTGTGAGTCACCGCGTCAGGCCCTTGTCAGAACCTTTACTGACTTCCTGTGGCCAAATTGGATGCAGAAGCATGCTGCCGTTCTTCTATGTGCCTGGAGCTGTTTGGCTCATGCCGGACCCTTGGCTGTGTCCCAGGCCACAGAGCACAAAAGAAGCTGTCGACTGTAGTTTAAAAGCTGCCACATATGAGATCTTTGACTGCAGTCACCATCTGTCACTGATAATCTGCCCTAAAGATACAGAAGGTGAAGTTGGAGAGGGCTGAGTTTAGAGACTGGAAGGGAACTACCTCCACATGGTAATAGAATCAGATAAGAGGGATTTGGTTTTCAAGACCTGATGCAGATTCTACCCTTGTGTCCCAGGGAGCAGAGGAAGCTGCTGGAAAAGTGTGCCATGACTGCTTTGAGCTCCAAGCTGATCTCCCAGCAGAAAGCTTTCTTTGCTAAGATGGTGGTAGATGCAGTGATGATGCTCGATGATTTGCTGCAGCTTAAAATGATTGGAATCAAGAAGGTACAGGGTGGAGCCCTCGAGGTAAGCCTGCTGTGACCTTCCTAGACAGCTCTTGCTTTCATATTGACTCTTCAGACAGCTTCATATGGCAGAAGGGTACTCATTACAGGAGTAAAGAGAATGCATGTTAGGCAGGAAGTCAGACTTATATTGTACTTCCCATACTGCCATTAGAGGCTGTGACTAGATAAACTTGGTAACCTCTGTGGATATTATTTGTCAGCAGAATAGAAAAATTGGACTGGATGATTTTCAGAATCTCAGGTTCTCTGTGTCAGTGGGTAGTTGGGGGGTAGTAGAACTAGCTCAAATAAATTATCAGTGACCTCCCAATTAATGCATCTGAGAGGGATTTTTCAGTTCACTGGTTTACTCCTAAGTGATACTGTTAAGCTCACCCTTCTTTCATTCATTTATCTTGAATAGGTGATACATATTTCAAACTGTGAAGGGGCCTAAAGTGTTTCATGCGCTACCCCTGCCCCATATACTGCCACTATTTGTGTGTATCCTTGCAGAATTACTTTGTGCATATATGAGCTTGTATGTAAATACTGTTTTTTAAAGACAAAAGATTGCTTATATAGTGTTCTGTAGCTTGCTTTTGTCCATTTAACAGCATACTCTAGAAACTGATCCATATTAACATGTGTAGCTCTTAACTCAGCACCCTCCAGTAGAGCTTTCTGTAGGGTGGTGGGACTGTTACATATCTGCACTGTCCAATATGATAGCCCTATCCACACTTGGCTACTGAGCACCTGAAATGCAACTAATGTAACTGAGGAACTGAATCTTAATTTTATTTCAATTTAAATGGCAACACGTAGCTAGTGGCTACTGTCTTGGACAGCATAACTCCTCCTTTTTAACACAGCAGTGTCTGTCTGGAAAAGTCCTTGGTATCTCCACGCTACTTTTGGCCTTTGCAGTCTCTGGCCTCCTGTACTTATTTCTCGTCATCAGTGACCTCAACTGAAGCGATTTGGGTAGAGGAGGACCAGCTGGAAAGATAGCCTGGCCCTTCTCTTTAAATTTTACCCTCCCAAATTGCATTCCCACTTTGCCATTTCCCCTCCTATTGTGGCACATGTCAGACCAGTGGGCTGAGATTCTCTGTATATAATAAAACCGTGAGGAACCTGGAGGTCATCTGAGCCATTTCCCTGTCTTCATCATGGCTTGCTGACTTTGTCTTTACTCACTGCTTTAGTAGCAATTTTTCATCTTCTCTTGGGCCTTCCTACTTCCATAAATGCTTGAGATTAGATTGGCATCCACTAAACTAGAAATTAGGACTAATAATCTTACCTGGCAAGAAAGCCAGGGACTCTAAGCCACACTTGTGTTTTTCCCAGACTGTCCTACATTCGTTAAATACATACAAACCTGACCCAGAATTCAATAAATAGTGGTAGTGATTATTTACTTGTTACCAGGGTTAACTGAGAATTTCCTGATCCATATCTTTAGTCCTCACCTCTCCTCTGAGTCTCATGCTCTTGTATCTAACTGCTATTAAACGCTTTATCTTGTCCTCCAGTCCTGTGATAGCATTTTCTGTATTTCCTGTCATAGTTGGTGTCACCACCGTTTATTCAAACTAGGAATCTGGGATCATCCTTGAAAACCCTTCTGACTCCAACCTGTCAATTACCATTGTTCCATTTTCCTCGTGATTTCCGAATTATTTCTTGAGTCTGTCTCTTTACTCTTTCCTGGGACCATTGCCACCCCTCTTCCAGTTTTGGATCCCCTAAATCCATTGTACTTACTTACTGTTTGCAAGGTGAAGTCTCCTACTTTATTCCTCTGCGTAAAGCCTTCTGACGTCTGCACTCCCTATACAAAGCCAGGCATTAACAGAGCCTGTAAGACCCTTCTAAACTGGCCCCTGCCTGCTTCTCCTCTCTCTCCCTTACTGGCTGGTTCTTTAAATTCTAGCAACTTCAAATGGCTTTTCATTCCCTGATTCCACAGCACTGCCTCCCACCTCTTAAGAGCACTCGTTTTTTCCTTTTTTCTGTTTAACTAATTTCTGCTTATCCATCATTCAGTTCAGGCATCACTCCCTTTAGGAAGCTGTGGATTTGAATGATGCAGGAATTGGGGACAGATACTCTTCACCCATTGGTTACAGGATTATAGATTAGAATTGCAGATGAGCACTGGCAGAGAACCTAAAGGTTATTGAACTGAATACCCTTTTTTATGGTGTGGGAAGTGACTCGGTCATTTAGTAAGGAAAGGATCTGACATTGGAACCTAAGTCTCATGGTAGTGCTGAGTCAGCCCTGAGTGCAGTGTGCTTTCTATTATGCCCTGCTGTTAAATCCAACCCACAGAGAAGCTCTGTTGTGGAACAAGTGGTAGAAGATCCTAACTTGAGGGATTGAGGTCTGAGGAGCTGCAGTGATAGCTTAGAAATTACACGGGGTATTTCTGATTCTTATGACCTTTTGGCTTCATCTTCTGGAGGGAGGAAGCGTCAAGGCTCTAGTATCCATGCTATTGGGGGTATGGGGGTGGAGGGTGCAGTGCAAGTTACGGGTACATGGAGGTGTGCAGGAGGAGACTTGAGATTTGGGAGTTGGGGCATAGAAGGGGGTAGCATTGCACGACTTTTGCCTTCTTTGTAAACACCTGGCTTCTCTTCTGGCGTGCTTTATGGAAGTTTGTAGAGCATTCTCCATTGGCCAGTGCTGCAGAAGTCAGTCTTAGAGGACAGCCCAGTAGGCCTTTACCATGCTTTGCCTCTGCTAACCAGATGATTTTCCTTAATGCTAAAGGGATAACTGAAATAATATGTTGTGGTGTTTAAAAAAAAAAAAAAAAAGATTTGTCTCCGATTTTATGATAACAGAAAGGCTGTGTTACAACAGTGAAATAAAGACATCATTAGCTCAGGTTCACAGGAATGGATAAGCACTAACCAGCAAAAAAGTAGCTTGATTTTATTTCATACTAGTACCAAACTGTTAAATTGTTTGTTTTCTTAAAACAGGATTCTCAGCTGGTAGCTGGTGTTGCATTCAAGAAGACTTTCTCTTACGCTGGGTTTGAAATGCAACCCAAAAAGTACCACAATCCTAAGATCGCCCTTTTGAATGTCGAGCTCGAGTTGAAAGCTGAGAAGGACAATGCTGAGATAAGAGTCCACACAGTTGAGGTAGGTGGGTTCACCAGTTGGTGGGGGCATGGAAATGGACAGCTTTCTGAGCCAGAGCCCTGGGTCTTCATGGCTGTTGTGGGCCCCTTTCTCTTCCTGCCCCCCTGAATATTGATATCTAAGTACTAGGCCCCCTTCTTTCCATACTCTATATTCTCCCTGAGTGACCTTGACCTGAGGAAATTTGGATAGGGCAGACCTGTTGAAATATGCTTTGGTCCTGGGGAAGGGGTTGGCAGGGCCTCTATAGCTACATAGCCTGCCTGGTATTTTGGTTCCTCTTGTTGGTGCAGGTGTGAGTTCCTCCACTTCTAGACTAGACCTAGTGCTGCAGAGACAGGTGTGCTCTCATTGTTGATGTTACCCAGGCTACCTCTGGAGGTAGCCGTGTCACCCATCTTTGAGCAGTTCTTGGGGAAGGGGTCTTTTTTTTTTCCTTCAAGATGGAGTCTCACTCTGTCGCCCAGGCTGGAGTGCAGTGGTGCAATCTCGGCTCATTGCAACCTCTGCCTGCTGGGTTCAAGCAATTCCCCTGCCTCAGCCTCCTGAGTAGCTGGGATTACAGGTATGTGCCACCACGCCCAGCTAATTTTTTTTGTATTTTTAGTAGAGACAGGGTTTCACCATGTTGGCCAGGCTGGTCTTGAACTCCTGACCTCAGGTGATCCACCCGCCTCGGCCTCCCAAAGTGCTCTGATTACAGGCATGAGCCACTGTGCCCAGCCAAAGGGGTCTTATTGGGAACTCCATGAATCCAGCACCTCAGAAGAGGCTAGACCTCAGCCAGGTTAAATTATTTCTCACATCTTGACAGCACTAGCTCTGGTTCTCAGCCTTGGGGTTACTTTCTGTTTTTGTGTTGGGGAGTTTCAGGTGATTCGTAAGTCATCTTATGGGGTCCTTGTTTGCTTGGACTGAGGAGTGGCTATTCTGTTTATCTCTGTTAATTCCCAGATAAATCAGCATGTTTTATTTGGTGGGGGCGGGTGGGTGTATTTTACCTTACCATATATGTCAACCTTCACCCCAAAGCATTCTCATCCTTTTCTGGGTCTCTCCAGGATTATCAGGCAATTGTTGATGCTGAGTGGAACATTCTCTATGACAAGTTAGAGAAGATCCATCATTCTGGAGCCAAAGTTGTCTTGTCCAAACTCCCCATTGGGGATGTGGCCACCCAGTACTTTGCTGACAGGGACATGTTCTGTGCTGGCCGAGTACCTGAGGAGGATCTGAAGAGGACAATGATGGTAACCAGATTTTCACAGGCTGCTTCTTGGCCTTTGTGGCCCTGAAGGGTTTTCACTGACCCCTGGTATAACAGATAGTGTACTGTCAGGTTGGCATGTGAATTGAGCCCTGTTTTTTTTTTTTTTTTAACTCTCTTTTTTTCCAGGAAGCACTCCATTTCCATGTGTGTGTGCCCAGTGGCACAAACTACTTCAGTCTAACCAAAACAAGTCCAGAAATCTGGTTTGTGAGAGAACCTAGCAGTAATGCTATGATTAGCTGGACAAACTCAAATATGGATTCTTCTAGCCAGATTTCTTCCCTTTCATGAGCATCCCACAAATGATACTTTTAGGTTTAAAGTACTCCTGAGTTCAGGTGCTGGACCCAGTGCCACCCTAGTTAGGGGAGGGAGTATAAGCTGAATCGAATGGGTCCTTATCTCCTTTTTAACTTCTCCTGTTTGCCCTTGATGTGTTTTAGTTCTGTTTTGGTTTTTTGCTCTTTCAGAGGTGGGGAAGGGTCGCCTGGAAGTCAAGGGAAAGGGCGGGTAATGCAGAGGCATGGGAATTGGCCTTGAGACGAGGTGGCAGGAAGCTACCTGGCCTCGGGAACCTTCACTGCTAGATCTTGCCTTCCTTGCTCCCTAGGCGTGTGGAGGCTCAATCCAGACCAGTGTGAATGCTCTGTCAGCAGATGTGCTGGGTCGATGTCAGGTGTTTGAAGAGACCCAGATTGGAGGCGAGAGGTGAGCCGTGGGCCCAGGCCGAGCTCACAACCCGCCTGGATCTGGTCTTCTGCCATCTTTCGGCTGTGGTATACAGGTTTTACGGAGTCTCACCTTTGAGCCATAAAGAGCTCAGATAATGTACAGCATTACAGGAAGATCTAAAGCCTTGACTCCACAATCTTCTATGCCCTGGTGGTACAGTTGTAGACCTTTCCAAGAAAGCGTCTGTAAGGTTGGGATTGGGTAACCTGAGTGAAGAATGTAAGAGCAGCTGCTGAGTGTTGGGAGGGCTGGCAGTGAGAGCAATACAGTAGGACGGTGGCAGACAAGAGTTCATGTGTGTACTATTTAATCCTGGGCATAGGTACAATTTTTTTACTGGCTGCCCCAAGGCCAAGACATGTACCTTCATCCTCCGTGGCGGTGCCGAGCAGTTTATGGAGGAGACAGAGCGGTCCCTGCATGATGCCATCATGATCGTCAGGAGGGCCATCAAGGTACGGGGCTGATGGCCTCCTGCCTGCACAGCCTACTCTCATCTCCCTAGCTGATCAGACCTTGGATTTGTGTGGTGATTCCTTCTCTATATAACCTGCCCTTTCCTGGGTGGTGTGGTGAGCCCTGATTTGCCCCACAAATGGTAGAGAAACTGAGCCTCAGTTTCTCAAAAATAGGTCATCCTGCCTTGAAAGCTAAGACTTGTTCTTTTAGCCAGGTGTGGTAGCTCACACCTGTAATCCCAACACTTCGGAAGGCCGAGGTGGGAGGGTTGCTTGAGGCCAAGAGTTTGGCACCAGCCTGGGCAACATAGCGAGACCCTGTCTCTACAAAAAAAAAAATTAGCCAGGAATGGTGGTATGTGCCTGCAGTCAGTCCCTGCTACTTGGGAGGCTAAGGTGGAAAGATCCCTTGAGCCCAGGAGTTGGTGGCTACAATGAGCTATGATCACACCACAGCACTCCAGCCTGGGCAACAGAGCAAGCAGAAGAAACACTTGATTTTGTTAGCAAACTGTGGATCTAATGTAGTCAGGTATTCCAGTAATTGTGCCAATGTCTTTGAGCTGCAGGTGACCTTGAAAATAGAAACCATAAGGTTCAGCAGGTTGAAGTTGGGATGTTCTAGATAGGGACTGTGTCTGGGCTTTTGGGGCTTGGGATGGAGGAAGGAATGAAGAACCACTCTTTCTGGGCTGAAGGGACCTACTGAGTGGCCCCGCATGGAAGTTTGGACCAGGGGCCTTCTTCCATTGAGAGGTCTGATCTCTGCAGAATGATTCAGTGGTGGCTGGTGGCGGGGCCATTGAGATGGAGCTCTCCAAGTACCTGCGGGATTACTCAAGGACTATTCCAGGAAAACAGCAGCTGTTGATTGGGGCGTATGCCAAGGCCTTGGAGATTATCCCACGCCAGCTGTGTGACAATGCTGGCTTTGATGCCACAAACATTCTCAACAAACTGCGGGCTCGGCATGCCCAGGTGGGTCCTTTCTCTCCCCAGGGTTCCGGGTTTGGGCAGGTGGGCTGGGTTCTGAATGTGAGCTGTGCTTACTCAAGCTGTTCACGCGTAGCCCAGGAGATAGGCTGCAACTCCACCCAGCCTGTCTACCTGACCACCTGCCTCCTCTGAGGGCAGAAGGAAAGCCATGGTGCTAGCACTGGAGATCCAGGGTTTCTTCATTGCTTCTACCAAGAATATGATTGTGGCTGGGCGCGGTGGCTCACGCCTGTAATCCCAGCACTTTGGGAGGCTGAGGTGGGTGGATCATGAGGTCAGAAGTTCGAGACCAGCCTGGCCAACATAGTGAAACCCTGTCTCTACTAAAAATACAAAAATTAGCCAGGTGTGGTGGTGGGCACCTGTAATCCCAGCTACTTGGGAGGCTGAGGCAGGAGAATCGTTTGAACCCAGCAGGCAGAGGTTGCAGTGAGCATAGATCGTGCCATTGCACTCCAGCCCGGGTGATAGTGCGAGACTGTGTCTCAAAAAAAAAAAAAAAAAAAAAAAAAGAGTATGATGCTCCTCATGGTACCACAGGAGGAACCTTGCATCCACCTTCCTGGAAGCACACGCTGACTGCATGGAGTGGGCTTATCAGTGTGGTGAAGCCCTCCAGAGCCCTCCAAGTGTGACCCTCGGTTAGTTACTTCAACCTCTCTGAGAGTTTAATTTCTCCGTTTGTTAAATAGATGTAGGTTTGTTAAGTGCTCAGCACCCAGTGAATGACCCTGCTTCTGGCTTGTATTAGGACTTTTGCTTAAAGTGACTTTATCTCTGTGTCTCACTTGCCTCATCTATAAAATTGGGCTATTTGAAGCAATGAGATGAGAGATTGAATAGTATTTTTGTCATTCTTGTTTATCTTGGGAACTCATTGTTTGATAGATATATAGTCCTCAGGTGACCTGAGGATGGGGCTACCCCGAAACACAACAGCTTGCCTGGGAGAAGATCCCAGAGGTCTTGTATGGTATGTCCAGGGTTAAAGGGAGGAGTTGGCGGGAGTAGGGGTGTTTCCAGGTTCCTGACATGCTGCCATAGGAAGATGCAGTATTCTTCAGCAAAATGCCACCAAGTTGAGAGAGTCTGTGGGTTCCTAGCAGTGTCTTTTGGAGTACCAGTTTACAAGAGGAAAGTTGAAAGCAGTTTCATATTACCTCCTTTCTTTTCCTACTCTTTCAGGGGGGCACGTGGTATGGGGTGGACATCAACAACGAGGACATTGCTGACAACTTTGAGGCCTTCGTGTGGGAGCCAGCTATGGTGCGGATCAATGCGTTGACAGCAGCCTCTGAGGCTGCGTGCCTGATCGTGTCTGTAGATGAAACCATCAAGAACCCCCGCTCAACTGTGGATGCTCCCCCAGCAGCAGGCCGGGGCCGTGGTCGTGGCCGCCCGCACTGAGAGGCACCCCACCTGTCACATGACTGGCTGGCTGCTGGGTGCACCTACTCTCCTTGGCTTGGTTACTTCATTTTACAAGGAAGGGGTAGTAATTGGCCCACTCTCTTCTCATTGGAGGCTATTTAAATAAAATGTAAGACTTCGGATAACTTTGTAAATTATTTTGGCACAGTACTCATAAATGTCTGGCTGTAGCTCCGAATTTTAGCTTTACATGCACTTGTCCAACAGGGAGACAAGAGCATTATGGAGTCAGCTCCACTAGAGTGGCCCCTGTCTGGAAGTTTCACTATGGTTGCATTCTTCGTTCCAGAAGTGGCTGGACAACATGCAGTTGCTTTCTTCTAGCATCATCGTATTAGCCCTGGGCTAGCCAGGCACTGCTCCCAGGGTTTCTCTGGTTTGAGTGAATGGGTTATATTACCTTGTCTGCCCCTTCTATCTCCATATTCTTTTGGTTTAGTCTTTTGTTCCCTCTTACTCAAGACTGTGAGAAGGGTGTTTTAGGGAGGGTCTCATGCTCTCTAAAGTCTAGTGATCCCTTGGAAATCGTCTAAGGAGATGACTGAAAGCATCCCCCTGGTCTTTTTAGCCCCCAGTGATCTTGGTTGTTTTGCTTTCTTGTGACCAATGGGAGTTTGGAATGGCTGGCACAGATGAGCTGGAAATCCAGCAGTGTCTAACATCCTCCTCATTTACACTGGTCCTGATAGCTGGCCTGCACCCTTCTGTAGTTGGTCATTGTTAAAGCTGGAGGTAAATATGATGTCATTGTCAGCCATTGAGACTTGCTAGCTAAAACTGGAAAGGGATATTTTTTAAAAAATTCTCTGAACCCAGTCACTCCTGGTTAGATGGACTCAAAAGCACAGAGGGTGGTGGGCAGGTCCAGGCTTTGGAATCTGGCATTCCTCCTAACTTGATGGTCTTTGGGTAGACTAATTTTTCTGAGCCTCTGCTATTCTACCTGTATGACAGGGTAAGAGTAGCTGTCTCAAAGAGTAGTGAGACTTAAATGTTCATTTTACTTGATGTTAGGGACACAATTTAAGCCTAAAACACTTACTCTTTTTTCTGATTTTAAATATTTCGAGACCCTAGGAATCAAGTCAGGGGCACAAGGGCATTTTGGATGAGGAAGTCAAGGCCAGACCATGATGGCAACCTGATCTCCCACAGTCAAAGCCTGATTGGCCAGAGCCTCCTGAGGAGGCAGCCAATCCAGGGAGGGGATGGGCAGTGCCTGCTGCCCTGTTGTACTGGTGCTGAATTTGCCCTTGAAGGTAGTCTCCCAGCTGAGAGTCAGAAGTGATGTATCTCAAGGCATTTCCTCTGGATGCACACACTGAAAGCAGGGTTGAGCGGTGGCAGGACAGTAACCCTAGGTGGCTTTTCTGCAGTCCTGAGGCAAGTTTTTGTTGTTTCTGAGACAGGGCCTCACTCGGTTACCTAAGCTGAAGTGTACAGTGGCGTGATCTCAGCTCACTGTAACCTCCACCTCCCTGGCTCGATATCCTCCCACCTCAGCCTCCCAAGTAGCTAGCACTGCAGGCACATGCCCAGCTAATTTTTCAATTAGGTTTCACTATGTTGCCCAGAGTAGTCTTGAATTCCTGGGCTCAAGCAATTCTCCCACCTCAGTCTCCCAAAGTGCTAGGATTACAGGTGTGAGCAACTGTGCCCGCTGGCAAGTCTTGCTAATACTTCATTCCACTGGGTTACCTGCCTTTGTACACTTGAGCTGCAGAAAGACCATGATAACACAGATGACCAAGTGTGGCCACAATACCATTTACTTCTCTGGGGCAGATATACCAGTTTCACCATCTTTTTTATTGGATACAGAGCCATAAATTCTCTGATGCCCATGTGAGTCCTTTTAAATACATACACTCAGGTACATTCAGCAAAGGGCATCTTATGGGTGACATGGAGCAAAGTGCTGGGATGGCGATGCCTGGGTGGGGCAGAGAAGTGTGGCCAGGAAAGGCCCCCTGGGGGCTGGAGGTACAGGCACCACTTCAGAAACAAAAATAAAACCAAAAATTGCTTTCCACCCCTCTGCCTGTGCTTGGGGCTGGGGAAGCTACCCTCTCACGCTCAGGCCCATTATAGCCTAGCTGTGCAGGAAGGCAGGGCCTAAGGGCCAGTTATGGAGGTCACCCACCAGTGGTGCCCACTAGGACCAAGCCTGCTGGCATCAGCCACAAGGCAAGCCTGGGTCACCTCAGGCCTCTGCCCTGGATACAAGACCCTTGCCAGGGCAGAGCTGAGGCTGGCAAGCCCAAGGCCAAGCCTCCCTTGGCCCATGCTGGCAGTGGCAGAGGAGGCTTAGTCTCATGGTGGGGAGCCTGCCTGATTGTCAGGGCAGCCTTGGGACTGGCTGAGGTCCCAAGGGGTTGGGGAGGGAATCGTTGCCTTAGCTGGCCCTGGTATTCTGATCTTTACCCAATCCTAAACCTTATCCTCAGGCAAGGGCTGCAGATGAACACACTTGTCCAGGAATACATACATACACACAATACACAGCAATATATACAGAAATGCAGGCCGGGCACAAGGCTGGGTGAGAAAGCATGGCCACTGGGGTAGAGAGAAGGACCAGGCCCCCCGGGGAAGGAAGTTACACTCATCAGGGACTGACAGGCTGGGACATGTCCCATGGGTTCGAGTTAACTTCTCTGGGCACTTGGGCCATATACCCACTCACTCTCCTGTTTTTACCCCAAGTCCAACAGGAACTGGGACTTTGGCACCAATAGTCACTCTGGGAAGGCCTCCTTCAACTTAGCGCCTTAGAGGGATTGGGGCCCAGGTGACTCCCCACCTGTGGCCCCAAAGATTAGAGACCAGGACCAGGGTAATAGGCAGGACCCAAAGGCAAGGGATGGAGCCAAACCTTGGAGTAGGAGGCCTTGGGAAGGAGGCCCTTTTTTTTTTTTTTCCCCCTTTCGAGGCAATTCCTGAGGGGCTGGCTCAGACTCGAGTGTCACAGGACCAAGAAAACAGGAGCTGCCTTGATCCTTAGGTGGTCTCTCCTGGCTGGGGAAAGGCCGTGGTGCTGGGCAGCCCACCCACTCTTTATTCCCGCAGGGATGCATGTAAGTGCATCTTCATTTCCTGTCGGTGCTGTGGGGAAGCAGCCTAAATAAAGCATGAAGTACTTAAGCCAAGTACACCAACCTCCCAGGTAGGCACTGGAGCCAGACTGGATGGCAGGGGGTGGTAGAAACACCAAGTGGCCACCCCCACTGGGCCTCTACACATACCTGGGTCCCCTGGAGCAGGGCTGCTTGCTCTCAGATATTCCTTTCTTGCATCTTACTGGGTATGTGGAGGGATCCCTTTGGGTGGGTAAAGATGGATGAAATGCTTCTGGGGATAGCCAGGCCCTCTGTCCTTGTTCCCATCCTCAGCCCTAGCTGTATGGTTGCCAAAGAAATCAATGCATAGAGCCTCCCAGCAAGCAAAAGCTCCCTACTCAGCAGCAGGGCTCATCCCCAAGGAGAGAACAAAAGAAGAGCGTCAAGGGGCTGGTGGGGCAGGGGCTGCAAAGCTGCCAGTGCTCAGGCATGCATGAAGGCTGGGGGGCACAAGTCTGTCAGCCCGGGGGTGCGTGTGCAGTGGGATACTCTGACCTGTCATTCCTGCTGCAAAGGATTGGGCCTGCTCACACACATCCTTCACACACAGCCAGAACAAGGTGGAGGACTGAGGGGCCTTCCTGGAAATAGCCAAATCCGTGGGAAGTGGACGTCCCCCAGGCAGAAGGGTATCTTGTTCACCCCTCTGCCTGCAGTGCTGGTGGTGCTCGGTACTGTTGCACGAATGAATGAATGAGTGAGACTGCAACTAGCGTCTGGCCTTTCAGCACCACCTTTCTCCCCCCTAGCTCGCTGCCCATATGCCCCAACCTCCTTTCCCAGGGCTAATGCCAGGCATTCTAGTGTGTACCACCCGGAGAGAAGTTGCCCAGAGCCTTGTATTCAGGGATGGAAGGTCCCTGGGACAGAGAAAATCCCTCAGTTGGGCAGGCTGAAGCCAAGCAGGGCATCCCTTTGTGCTTTGTCCAGGAGACAGGGAAGGCAGCACCTCTGGTTCTGGGGTCACAGGGAGCAGGAGCTGCAGGGTGCAGTTGGCGAGGCAGGACCAACAAATCCAAGGTATCCAGGCCCTTAGTGGGCCTCCACCTCCCTTCCAGGCCTCTGGAGGAGAGGAAAGAAAGCCGTGCTGCTTTTTCCTGACCCCTGAGGACAGGGCTGGTGCAGGGAGAAGCCAATGGAGCCAGCTGCTCTGGGGTAGGGGCAGGGAGTGCCACACACAGCCAAGGCTTCGTGCAGGACTGGGCAGGGAGTTGCCAGCATGACACCCTTGGTATTTTAGATTTTCAAAGGGCAGGGACAGAACAAGCCACAGGAGGAAAAGTCAACAATGATAGCAAGATCTGGGACAGAGCTAGGGAGTGACGCCATGGGAGCTGGGTGTGCTGCTGCGTCCGTGGGGTCCCAGCTCTGGAGGACTCTTTACAAGGTAACCGAGGGCTGGGTCTTCATGTCCAAGCCAGGTTGCGTTAGGGAGTTGGGTTCCTGGGAAGGACTGGGTAACGAGGGGACCCCATCCCCAGCCAGGACCAGCAGCCTAATGGCTAGGGCTGGGAGCTGATCCTATCTAGGAGAGAAAGAAACCCTAAGATAGATCTAGTTTAGATGTTTGAAAGAACTTTCCAAATGAAAGTTGGTAGGACCCCCGGCCTCTGAGCCACTATGGGAGTTCTGAGAGGAGGAACTGGGGAGACCTCAAGCCTTTGGAGCCTTGGTTCTGAGACCTGATCCTTTGGGGACTGCAAAGGCCAGTGAAAAGCCCCACTGGAATCCTGTGGCTTCTAAGCCAAGTGGCTCCAGCCCAGGTCCAGCACTTCCCCTAGGCAGAAGACCCCAATGCAGCCCTCAGCCCATGGGGCCCGTGGAGACCGAGGAAGGGGGAGTGAGTCTGTTGAGGATGCTCTTCCTCTTCCTTGGCCCCATGGGTCTGGCTCCCTGCCAAGGCTACATCTTCAAGCAAGCTAATTAGACAAGGAAGCAAAGCAAGCCACCCTCCTCCTGGCTTCCTCCACAGCCTCAGCACAGAGGGCGGCCCGTGCCTCCCT